AACCACCACTTACTCTAAACCTCTCAATTATAAGATGCAATATAGGAAAGCATAGATAGAACAGGTGAAATTTTTTTCCTCTTTCCTTTGAACTAATATTAGCTAAAATAACCTTCATTCAAGTAAGAATTCTTGGTATGTAAGCCTATGATTCCATATCACAAGAACCCAGAGTTTACCCCTCAGGGTATATGCAATGCGCAAGCAGTTTATGTTTAAGTATAATATTTCAGAGTTACAGGGAATGTTGTAGGCACATGTGTAAACAGGTGCATTTCCATTGTTCCTATTATGTGTGCATCTGCCTTAAAAACAAGCATACAAAATCACTATGTTTATTTGCCAGGCATATAGCTGACATTAAAAAAAGGACCTACCAATTTTCTCCTTGCTTCCCCATGTGCAGTTTTGACAAGAAGCTCTGAAAACAGTTCTCAAGCTATAAGACTTGGTGGCAATCAACCATATCTTGCAAATCCCAGACTTTATGTGAATTGGTAACTTGACAAGAATAATTAAATGGCTACAGCTGCATTCCTATTGTAACTGAAGAGTGAGTTAGGAATGATTGACAGCAGTGGAGTGGAATGGTTAGTAGAGTCCGGGTGAATGACAAGTGAAGTATGTCAGTGGAGAAATGATAGATAAGGGGAGGAGAGACACAAGTATGCGGGGGGGGGGAGAGAAAGAGAGAAGGCATAGGTAAGAGAACAGTGATTAGGCTAAGCTATTACTGATTATTTACATGATCTTATTTGTTTGAAATGGATAAACATTTTAACTTTGAAATTGTGAATTTTTTTTGAAGAATTCTAAGTGTGTGCATATCTCATTCTATGTGCTAGATACATATGTGTATGTGTGTAGATATTTATACTATTAAAAAGAAAGTCCTTCTCACCCCTATAGATGTGTCTTCAATCTCAGGTCATCAATCAGAGATTAGGGAATTTGAAGATACTCAACTGCTTTGAAACTCACTGAATTTGGTACTCAACACATTTTGTTGTGCCGATATTTGTTGTTGCTTGTTACTCAAGTGCAAGCTAGAACTCGTTGGTGTTGATGGCTTGTGACTCGCTACCCTTTCCAGCTGAAACAAAGGATGACGCTTTAGTCACATAGTAACCCTTGCCCAGTGCACATCCCCTTGCAGCCTTTTTTTAGCTTTTGTGGTCGTTTTGTGTATTTTTGTACTTTTTTTCTCATCGGTTCAGGTAAAGTGAAGTTTTTATTTTATTTAATCTAAGTATTTATTAATTTTTAGGTTTATTCCTCATGTAATTATATACAACCATATCTTTTAACATATTGCCTTAAAAATTGTCTTTGGTTTGGGAATGCATTAAATTTATTACATTATTCCTTATGGGGAAAAAATTGTTTGGTACTCGTCAGTTTTGGTACTCATCACACCTCCCCAAAACCGATTAACAATTGAGTACTGAGGTACCACTATATTTTCAGCTGTTCCTAGCACTGTACTCTTCTGTACAGAGCTCTCTCATGTTGTTCCAAGGATTCGTTAAAGCCACTCTCCCAGTTTAGGAGTCGCAGCCCCAATACTCTTCCCGCTACTGGGATCACTTTGGCCCTATATATCATGCTTACTTGGATACTTATATAATAGGTCCTGTTGAAGTGAGTGTGGCTTATTCCTGTAAATTACCATTAAGTGAAGGTAAGGCTGGGTTCTCCAAGCATTCTTGCAAAAAGCCCCAAAACAAATAGCAAACTACTGCTGCCACGAAAACCAAATGTATTATAACCATGAATTCTACTGACTTCTACCTTTTAAATCTATAAGATTGTAATGTTTGCATTTTGGTATATATGCAAACATGTTTTGAGCATACAGATCCACAAACACATATAAATATAATATCTATCAGTTTTCTCTAATGCTCTGGAATGTTAAAAATTCCATTAAGCGTAGTAAATATGCTGTTTTGACTCTACGATTCTATTCTCCCCCCCCCCTTTTTATTACAGGATTAAATAGTTAAGCAGTTCTTAGCATCTGCCTTAAATTGGTGCACAATTAAGTCTGCTTAAATTTCAACGAGTGAACTGTCTTAAACATGCTTAACTACATTCTTAGCTTGAAAGCATGGAATATTTTACATAAAATGAGTTAATGCATTTTAATAAGTTTTTTTAAAAAAAACTTTTATTCCTGTTTTAAAAGAATAGAGAGAAAGAACTCAAGATAAAATGTGCCTCTTGTCAACATGACCAACTTCTTAGTCTTAAGTGATCAAACCCTTAAATAGGGCAACGGGGGTTGGGGGGGCATAATTTTATTCTTAAAAGTAGGGTATGTGATGTTATAATTTATTCAATTTATATAGAATAAATAACATAGAACTCATTCATAACTTGACAGAAAATAAATTAATCTGAAAATGGTAATAGCTTTTGCTATGATTCCATCAAAGCGCAAAATAAACAAATTTTGTCCTTAATTCTACAAGATGTTAACTGTATACACCAAAATCTACATCAGAATTCCATAATGCTGGCTTTTAAAGAACATGATAGCTTTGTCTACAATGAATTTGAAATATGATTTGCTATAAAACAGCTTGAAACTGTGGGTCTTTCACAAAATCTTAAATATCTACAAAGAAGAGAGAAAGAGCTTCTGAATAGATAAAAGTAAAATCGTGATTCTTATATAAAATATTATGCATTTTAATAAGATTTTTGCCTGATTTATGTAAAGCTTTGTGTTTTTCATTTTCCCTAGCCTGTCACATTGTAGTGATGTATGAAGCATTTTAGCATCAAGTTTGCCATGAGCAATAAAGTCAGTGCCCCTAAGAAATATTAATATATTTCCACTTTTTTATCCTCTCTCCAGGAGTGTTCTTATTCAGCTTATTTGGTTTCACTTCACATAGTCAGCCAGCATAATTTTTAGACTCATAGTAATATTTTAAAGCTTTGCACAGCTAAAAAATATCCTTGTCAAACACGGTACAGTGTGTACTAAAAGGCCACATTTGAAAATGAAGAACATGGTCTTGGGACAAAGAAAATATTTATATGAAGAAGCTGAATATTAAAGACAAGCTAGAGGCAAACACAAAGAAAAGTTCCAATCATAACTATTTTTCCCCTCGGGTTCAGATTGCTCTATAAAGTTCTGCGGCTCACAACAGAATCAAGCATTATTCATGGAAAGTCAGAGGCTCTAAAAGTCTGGGGATCAGTAAGCCTTCTTGAAATGTTCAAATAATGGCTACAACCACAGAATGACGGATATACTGATCATAGCCAATCATAAAATTTCATTTAACAGAAGGCAGTTTACAAGACAATGAGCTTGCCCATTATGGCCATAAATCATGATGTTCGTCATCACACGACTAATCGATTTTTACAACTTTTTTGATGAGTGTCTGAAATGCAGTCATGTGATTGTGGGGAGGAGAGTCAGCCATCCAAACTTCAAAACCGAGTCTTAAATACTTTTGGGGAGGTTTGTCAAAACTGCAAAGCTGGGGATTATCTATACATACAGTTGTCATTGTTGGGTAGAATTTCAATAATAAAGATTAATGCTTTACCTTTATTTTTATTCCCGATAATACCAATCATGATGATTGATGTAACATTTAAACAATATCAGAAAGACGTTTCTAAGTGTACATAAACCAGTGTTTGACTTAGAATGATTCATATGATGACTGTTTAAAGTTATACTGGCATTGAAAAAAGTGACTTATGACTGATTGTGGCATCCCCACAGTCAGTGATCAATATTCAGATGGCTGGCAACCGTCATGTGTTTTATGATGGTTGCAATGTCCCAGGGTCATGTGATTGCCATTTGCAACCTTCTCAGCCATCTTCCAACAAAAGCCAATGGGGAAAGCCGGAGTTGTTTAATGACATGATTCACTTAACATTGAAGTGATTTGTTTAACAACCATGACAAAAAATGGTTGTAAAATCAGGCATGACACATTTAACAACCGTGTTGCTTAGCACAAGAAATTGAAAACTATCTGTATGGCATGATAAAAAACAAGAATTAAATATAAATTGCTGCAAGATGCTAAAGAAAGCAGTGGGATGGGATTACTTGACCTAAAATTGTATTTTCCTTCTTATAAGCAACATTTGTCTTTAGAGCTATAAAGGCTATTTTTCATATTCTCTACAATTCAGTTCAAGAGAGATTAGTGAGTTGATTATGTCATTTCACTATTATGCTACTTGCACTAAAAAGTGTAAGGGTTTCCCCTCTCTCATTTCCAACTCTAGGGGGCAGTGCTCATCTCTAATTCTTAGCCTAGGGAGCCAGCATTCTCCAGACATTTCCATGGTCATATAGTCATACACCAAGGTGCACAGAATGCTGTTATTGTCCCACCAAAGTGGTACCTACTTATCTACTTGCATTTGCATGCTTTCAAACTGCTCGATAAACAGCAGCTGGGGCAAATAATGGGAGCTCAACCCATTGCACGGCAGTCAGGTCTTGTACCCAAGCTGTCAGTTTTCCAACTGACAAGCTCAGTGTCCTTAATTGAGCAGCCATCGCTTCCCTTTACTTGCACTAAAATTATGACTAATTAACATTCTTTTTCTAATCAGAAAATATTGATCAAAATAAATATTCCTACATATTTCTAAGATGTCTGTGCATCTCACTCAAACATATTACACATGTACACGTGGAGAGAGAGGGGGAGGGAGGGAGGGAGGGAGAGAGAGAGAGAGAGACTAACAGTCAATCTTCTCAAATGATGGCTCTGCTTCAAACACATTCCAGAACATGTCTTAATCATTTGTATTTCAAACAATTTATTTTTTTTTTGTTTCCAGATGTCATCTCAGTAAATGTAAAACAACACTTCTTCAGCCCAAAATGTAAACAATTATTTGAATAAAATAACCCACCATTTTCCTATCAGTAAATATGGCATTTTCCATGAGATACTAAATGACAATCTAAATAAAAATAAACTTTACTGGAATGCTGGACTTGCCTTATCTTCCAAATGCAACTTTAACAGGCGGAGATAAGCCACAGGGGCAAATGCATCTGCTGAATGTACAACCACTTCTGAGGAGTCCCTATAACACAAAATTTTAAAAATGTGATGGAAAAAATAGTATTGTTGTGTTGCTTTTGAAAGGAAAACAAAACAAAAATAACCCAAAGGTACTTTTTCCAAAAGCCAATTGGACTTTCCTGGGGGTTTTTTTCTTTGAAAATGTTTTGCTTCTCATCCAGAAGTTTCTTCAGTTCTAACTGATTGGTGGGGAATGGAAAGATTCATATTATTCAAAGACTTTCTTGGGTTTTTTTATCTGAAAACATTTCTAGTGGGTAATGGAAGGGTTTATATTGTTCGGAGAATATAAATCCTTTCATTCCCCATTGGAAACACTGAGACAACTAGAAAGTTTAGGACAATCATGACCTGGATGATTAAGAATCTCCATGAACAAAACAAAAATAAAACAGATGTATCAAAGATGTATAAGAATTATATTACCTTGGTGCTCTCTGAACTTGCTTATTTTCTTGCAGATGTTTCAGTATCCAAACTAGGTATCATCATCAGTGTTCTGATCATCAATGAAGATCAGTGCTCTGATACACTGATCATATTATCTAATTTGGGTAATGAAAGATTTGCAAGAAAACAAGCAAGCTCAGAGAGCACCAAGGAGCCCTCATGCCAGCCCTGAGCTACACATATTCTCCTTTATTAGTAATTATATTACCACTTATGACATTTAAATCAATCTGAATTGGGGCCAGTTTTAATAAGCAACAGGTGCAAATGGCTACAGTCTTTGCTCCAAATAATGTGAATGGATGCCACTTATACAGTCTAGAACAGATAGAACTTCTGTTTGGAACATAAAGTAAAGGGACGGGGATATTGGGAATCACCATAAAAAACCACGTCTTTATATCTGCCTTACCCAATATCTGCCTTACCTAAGAAGGCAGCTCATACCCACCAGAAGTTCTTATTGAAGAATTTCAGCACTATGTGTGAAATTGCCTCCTTGAAAAACAAATGGATCACATCCTTCAATCATTTGGAATAAAATAGAAGTGAAACTGAACTCAAAGGGTTTGTACTCGTCTCGATTCAAATGAGAATTTATGAACATCATATTAAAATAACTATATAGAAAAACCCCCTCAGAAATCTGAAAATACTCATAACATAGCTAATAATAAGATTTGGGGAGTTAACATATTTTAAAGCTCAACTTTCCCTAATTCGGTGACCTCCAGGTAAGATGGAATATACATTTCATAATCACGAAACAATGTACTTAAGACTGTACTAGTTGGCATTAGAAGTAAAATAAATAAATTTAACAAATAAATAAATATAATCTAACACATATGGAAATTATCAGGTTTGAGAAGGTTGCTGGCCTTTTGCATTCTTTATGTTTCAGAGTATGATTATTTATTTACATATATTATTTATGAGATAGAGTAGTTGATGAATTCAGTGAGAAACATTTCCTACATTTATGAGGAGGGTAATTTTCTTCTTGAAATACTTTACTTCTCATATAATTTTGTCAAACTGTATCTACCTGAGGTTACTCCCAAGTGGGACATTTGAGATCTAGAAATAAATTATCCTTCTTCATTGCAGTTATTGAGCTGAACATGGGATAAAGCAAGACACTCTGTAAATTCAGATGAAAGGGGTTTCATCGAAATATTTTCCTTAATACCTGCAGCCTAACTTCTTTACCATAATTATATTGACAAATCTACATAGTTATAATAAATTCTCCCATATGTCTATACATATATATTTTAAGAAAATATAGAAAAGATAACTCGGGGCAAACTGGAATGGTTCAAAACATTAGCATTCCAAAGCGTTCTTCAGCAATTCAAGCAAAATGTTTTGTATTATCATTTTAAGTTGCTAATGTTAAAATGGTAAAAAAAAAAAGGGGGGGGGAAGGGGGGGAGGGAGAATGAGAGAGAAAAGAGAAATAGAGTTAATGGAATCTACAGGCTACTGATGTGGCAGTTTATCAAATGTAGCTGTAATGAAAGACAAATATTACTGGCAATTCGCACTTCATGAAAGGATAAAAGTGTCAGTGTGTAGGTACCAGTTTTACTGCAGGCCATAATCAGCAAGTAAACGAAAGTGCAAATGTCTAAAAAGTTTATAGCTTTCTATGAAGGCCCCATCTTGTCAGGCATTGATTTAGGTTAGTGGAGGGCTTTGCCAGTGTTAAACAAAGTGGGTATTTTGAACTTAGAGGACATATTCTGCTGCTGCCAAGAAAAGTGGCCTAAAGCTAAATATTAGTATGGTCCCAGTGCTAACATTTAAAGAAAAGAGAAGACATGGGTCCTTACACAACAATTTTCTTCTTAAATAGAGGACAATCCAATGTGAATGTTTCATATTCTCCCCCTTCTCCACAGACATGGACTCCATACTTCTGAAAAAGCTGAAAAATGGGGAAAAATGCTTTTGGGAATGGTACAAAAGGTTCTCATAAACACAATTTAAACAAATTCAATTTACCACAATACATCAAACAAATATAATACAATTCAAAAAGACAAAACCAACAGATAAGGGACAAAACAAATAACACAAACCAAATGCAGCTTCAGCATTAAAACAATGTATCAATCAAACTTGCAAGGAACTCTAGCCACTCCAAGCAAAGGCCTGGGAGAACAGTTAGGTTTGAAGAACCTCTTGAGCACTATCAGGGATTAGGTGGGCGGGGGAGTCCTCTGGATTTCAGGAAGAACTTCATACCAGAGGCAGGGGTTGAAAAAAAAAGAGAAATACGCAAGGATGTACAGTACTGAAAGCTATATTATCAGGGTTTGTATGACTGAAATGTATACTTCCTTACTGAAAAATTAATCCCTCTGTTAAATTAGACTTAATCAAGTCAATGAGACAAGCACAGAATGGCAACTTATATTGTTCCTAAGTCAGGATGCTGATTCTATTTTCAATACAATCCTCATTTAGATATGATAAATATTTTCAGTTGAAGAGTGGCAAAGAGTGCTATTATTTCAAGATGCTGCTATTTCTACATCAGGCAAGCATAGGCATCAGGTCTCAACATTGTCAGAAAATTATAGCAACTATGGTAGCCCCATTTATTCACTTTCAGAGTTGATACAAGTATCATGTTTCAATCACAGGTCTCTTCATCTTTACAGTGCTACGGGTAGGCTACTAAAACCAATGTGCAAATCATTATTCAACACACAATTCAGCTACATTACTATCAAATACAGTTCTACATCAGATCAAGAATCCAGGTGCACTGGTCTAGGCACAACCCAGATACAAAAGTGAGAAAAAACTCACATAATATTCAGATTACAATTATTGCACAAAATATGAATGGTAATTCCCAAATTTATTGATGGTTCATCAATAATACAGAGCATGGGAAACTGGCCAATTTGAGCTGTTTGATTTGCATCCTATCTTTCTATCAAATCTAGCCTTTTATGGACTTAAGGGAATTTATTGACACTGCTAACATCAACAAAGAACTAGCTGACTGAAGTGGTGTAAAAATATTAAATTATTAAGGGAGAGCTAATACAAATGGCCGATGGAAAGCCACCAGAAGATTATTTGTTGGGTCCTTGGTGGTCTCCGAGGCTGTTGTTGTTTTTTTGCTTATAGACATTTAATTACCAGAAAAGACTATATCATCACCAGATTTTATGTCAAGAAACTCATATTTGAGATGCAATACAAGGCCATATGTACTCCATAAATGAAGTTTATTTCTAATATGTCGGTGTAAGATTTGGCAAACTTCTAATAATTCTGTAGCATTCTTTACCCTAGTTTAATCTAAAATGTCTAGAGCTTCCTAACTGACATTGAACTGAATTTACCTGTGAAATTAATGAATTTTTATTCATGTCTCCTGGCAGCCTGCTGATGCTTGTGTGGATGCATTCTGCCAATGTTCTATCTGCTTGTCCTCCTTTCCCATAGTCCGTACACTGTATATTGCAAATGACTTCTGGATTAGTAATATTTTCTATTTGAAATGTTTCATAGGTCTGATTTTTTTGCATATTGGAATCCAATTTTTCTGCCCTTGTCTTCTAGCTCCTGGCTCTGCCGACAACTTAGGCAGGAAAAAACTAAAACTTCCTTTGTTTATTCAATTTGTATGGCTGCCTGTTTTAGCAAGTGACTGTGAGCAATGGACAATCTTAAAATAAATTAAGAAATGAACTATCATTATATCTATCTATCTATCTATCTATCTATCTATCTATCTATCTATCTATCTATCTATCTTTGGTTGTTCAGGTTTTCTCCCGCGTAAGATTCGAAGTATCTAGGCAACGTTTCGATGAAGTCTCATTCATCATCTTCAGGCTTCTGTCTCCAGCTCTGTGCTTCTCAGAGTGATGTGAGATTGCAGCTGCTTCTTCCTTTTAACTGCTAGTGGGGGTGGGACTTGATTGGGTGGGGGCTTGGCTGTGTTCTGATTGGGTGGGGGTGTGTTCTCATTGGTAGGGGGTTTGGCTGTGTTTTGATTGGTTGGGGGGTTGGCCGTGTTCTGATTGGTTGGAGGCGTGTTCTGTTCAGGTGGGGGCTTGGTTGTGCTCAGGTTAGTCTTAGTTGCTGGGGGATTTGAGTTGGTGAGTTGTGATCTTGCTGTTTGGCTTCGAATTCGTGGTCGTGCTGCATCTTCATAGTGGGTGTCGGTTTCCTTCATGTATGGCTCGGAGGGGTTTGAAGTGGGTAGTGATGCAGCTGCAGTGCAGCTTCTGATCCATGGTCGTGTCTCATCTTCTGAGTGAGTGTGAGTCTGTTTTCTACATGGAAGTGTGGTGGTGGCATCTTGTGTGGCTCTCATGGGTGTGGGTCTGGTGTCCCTCTTCATGTTAGGTACTCGTCTGTTCATGAGGGCGGGTTTCCAAATGGCTGGAAGGCGGGAGGTGTCATCTCGTTTGTTCATGCTGTGTGGACGTTTTTCTATCTCTGTGGCTTCTCTGATTATTCTGCTGTTGAAGTGTTCGGTTTTGGCGATAGTTCTGGTATTTTTAAAGTCAATTTCATGTCCTGTGGCTTTGAGGTGTTGGACCAGGGAAGAGGTCGTTTCTTCTTTTTTGATTGAGTTCTTATGTTCTTCAATGCGTGCACTTATTCTTCTGTTAGTTTGTCCAATGTATGTGGTAGGGCAGGCAGTGCAGGGGATTTCGTATACTCCTTGGTTTTCTAATTCGATTTTGTCTTTGGGGTTTCTTAGGATGGTGGATATTTTTCTGTTTGTGCAGAATGCTGTTTTGATGTTGTGTTTTTGGAGGATCTTGCTGATTTTGTCTGTAGTGCCTTTTATATATGGGAGGAGGGCTTTGCCGTTTTCTTGTTCTCTGTCTTGGATTTTGGTTGGGGTTTCTTTTTGGATTAGGTGGGTAATCTTCTTTCTTTGGAATCCATTGGCTGCAAGTACGTTGGTGAGAGTGTGTAGTTCGGTTTTTTGGTGTTGTTCATCGGCTAAGCATTTTGTTCTGGAGATGAGTGTCTTGGCTACGGAATTGATCTGTGCTGGGTGGTGGTGTGAGAGTGCATGTAGATAGCGGGTTGTATGTGTTTTCTTCTGGTAGATGGTGTGTCCTAGGGAGCCATTG